GGGTTTATCCTAGGAAGGCAAGGTTGGTTCAACATATGGAAATCAGTCAATGTAATACACTTTATTAATAGATTAGAGGAACAAAACCCATATGATCATTTCAGTAGATGCAGAAAAAGCATTTGACAAAATCCAACACTATTCCATTATAAAAACATTCAACAAACTAGGAATATAAGGGAACTTCAGCAAGTTGATAAAGAACATCTATGAAAAACCAACATTAACATTATATTTATTGGTGAAAGATTGCAAGCTTTTCCTTCTAAGACCAGGAACAAAATAAGGGTATCTGCTCTTGCCACTTCTGTTCAACATTGTACTGGAGTTTCTAGCCAAAGCAATTAGACAAGAAAAAGAAATAAAAGGCATCTAGCTTGGAAAAAGTGAAACTCTCTATTTGCTCATGACATTGTCTTATATATAGGAAATCCTGAGGAATACATACATACACAAAATTAGAACTAATAAGCGAGTTCAGCAAGTTGCAGGATACAGGTTCAATATACAAAAATCAATCACATTTCTATACATTAGTAAGAACAATCTAAAAAGGAAATGCATATTTACTAGACATTTCTCCAGAGAAGATATACAAATGGCCAATAAGTATTTGAAAATATACTCAACATTATTAGTCATTAGGAAAATACAAATCAAACCAAATGAGATACCACCTCACACCCACTAGGATGGCTATAATCAAAAGGATGGATGATAAGAGTTGGTCAACATGTGGGGAATTTGGAACCCTCATAGGTTGCTAGTGGGAGTGTAAAATGTTCTTGCCACTTTGGAAAACAGTTTGGCTGTTCTTTGAAGAGTTAAACATGGAGTTATCATATGGCCCAGCAGTTCTACTCCTTGGTATATATACCCAAGAGAACTGAAAACATGTCTACACAAAAACTTATACATGAATGTTTGTACTAGCATTATTCATAATAGCCAAAATGTAGAAACAACTCAAATGTCAATCAATTGATGAATACATAGATAAAATATGGTATATCCATACATCGGAATATTATTCAGCCATAAAAAGAATGAAGTCCTGATACATGCTACAACATGGATGAACCTTAAAAGATGTTCATTGAAAGAAGCCAGACAGAAAGGGCTACATATTATATGATTCCATTTACATAAAATGTCCAGGATAGGAAAACCAATGTAAACAGAAAGCAAATTAGTAGTTACTAAGGACTGAGGGGAGGGATAAGGGGTAGTGACTACTAATGGATATGAAGTTTATTTTAGGGGCAATGAAAATGTTCTGGAATTAGATAGTGGTGTTGGTTGTACAACTTTGTGAGTATATTAAAAACTACTGAATTATACACTTTAACAGGGTGCATCTTATGTTGAATTTTATGGTATATAAATTATATCTCAATTAAAAGGGCATGCAATATAAAATTAAGGTTCAGTAAAACTCTGTAGTCCTATCTATTAAATATTAAACTTCAGCATGAACTCATGATGCATGCATTGAAATATATTTCTGGCCCTGGGATACCTGGGTGGCTCAGTCAGTTAAGGGTCTGCTTTCAGCTCAGGTCATGATCTCAGGGTCCTGGGATTGAGCCCCACATCAGGCTCCCTGCTTGGCGGGGAGTTTGCTTAGCTCCTGGCCCCTCCCCCCTCTTGTGCTCACTCTCTTTCTCTCAAATAAATAAAATCTTTTAAAAATAAATAAAATAAAATAAAGCATTTCTAGCTCTGACCACTGTAAAGGCATAGAAACCATAACCAACCCACTAGTAATGAATGCCCTTAGCACCCTTATTGCAGTATCCAAATGGTGATCACAATGATAATCTGGAGCCGGGGTTCCTTGGCAGAATGGCTGATCCAGGTCGGGGCAGAAAATGTACAAGTTAAGCATGGAGAATCTTTTGTAATCTTTTATCAGTACTCTGTGGTCATATCCAAAGGACTAGGAGCCAACTTGAGAAGACTCTCTTGGACTCGAGATGGTATTATTTGGGAACCAATAAGAATAATAATATTTACACTGAACTGAAACATATTAATTATGTGAAAATTTATGAGTTCATAATGAAAACAAATAATTGGCCATCTTTGGAACATGGTAGGGAACCAAGTCATTCTGAAAACTGACAATCAAGAATGTGTCATGTCTTGGGGCACCTGGGTGGCTCAGTCGTTAGGTGTCTGCCTTCGGCTCGGGTCATGATCCCAGGGTTCTGGGATCGAGCCCCACATCAGGCCGCCTGCTCTGCGGGAAGCCTGTTTCTCCCTCTCCCACTCCCCCTGCTTGTGTTCCCTCTTTCACTGTGTCTCTCTTTGTCAAATAAATAAATAAAATCTTTTAAAAAAAAAGTGTCATGTCTTTCCTGTACTTTTCCTATACTTTCCTGTACCTCAACCAAATAGTTGATGTGGTGATTTTTCTTCATTATAGTATCCCAGCTAGTAAATGAAGAATGATAGAATAAGAGTATCACCATTTTGCAAACCCCTGATGAACTGAAGGATTTAGGCATTGATCATCAGTGGCCACCAACATCACAAAAGGAAAGACAACTGAAGAGTATGTGTTTCCTGTAGGAGGCTCACACCACTATAAAGAGGTTGCCAGAATATCTCACCAAATTAGGCCAAGCCTCTAGACCTAGTTGCCAATTTACAGGAGCCAAAGAGGGGTGGACAGAGGAACGTATTCAGAGACACCACAGCAATGCAAGCAGCAAAATGCAGCCTGTAGGAGATCCGACAGTACAAATGACCCAGTTTCTTCAACAAACAAATTGTAAGGAAAAAAGAGACTTAGAAGGTGCATCAGCGAAAGGCAGCATGTGGGCCTTGTCTTGATCCTGATTTAAATAACTGCAAAAAGATAGAAGATCAGGGAAACTTGAACACCAACTAGATATGATATTAAGGAACTATGTTAATTCTCTTGGGTGTTAAAATGATATTAAAGGCCCATGGGAGCAGGGCCTCCCACCCCCAGGCTTACCATGGCATTGGTAGAGAGCAGAGGTGAAAATGTGCCCTCTGCCAGTAGAGCCCAGGGAGGGAGAGCGGAGGGGGCTGAGCCAGTGAAGCCCAGCTGATGCTTCCAAACTCGGGGATAAATGGTTTCTCCTCCACGGGTGAGGAGTGTGCGTGGGGTGAGGAGAGAGGCCAGAGCGTTACTGAAGGGCTGTCTTCCACGTGGAATCATGAGGATGGGGAACCATGTTCCTGTAGCGAGGGAGGGCACCCAACCCCAGGGCTGCTGTCGTGGGTTTGTAACTGCTCTTGTACAGAGTCAGGGGCTTCTTGTAGACCTATCCCTGTCCACCGTGTATGCAGGAATTGGAGACAGGACTTCGGGGTGCTAAGTGGAAGGAGGTTCTAAAGTGACTGAGGTGTCCCTGGCTTTCACTCGTTCCCGGAAGGCTAGAAAGGAGTGGCATTTGCAGTTAGCCAAACCGTGTGCTTGTGGAGTCCTCTTGGCAAGATGAGAGCTGAACCTATCGTCTCCTGTCCCCTGTGTCTCCCCCTAGCTGCAATGGCAAACGCTACCTGGAGACACTCCCCAACACCAGCATCATCATCCCCTTCCACAACGAGGGCTGGTCCTCCCTCCTGCGCACCGTCCACAGCGTGCTGAACCGCTCGCCCCCGGAGCTGATCGCCGAGATTGTGCTGGTTGATGACTTCAGCGATCGAGGTAGGGCCCACCCCACCCAGCTTCCTGCCCCCCACACTCCATTCAGTGACTGGCCAAAAGGGTGGCAGGTTTTCTTCAGCAGCACCAACAGGTGGGCCACTGTTTACTGATGCTTGCTGTGTGCCTGGCCATGACCCTGGCCCTATACACAGTATCTCATTTAGTTCTCGCAACATCCCATGAGATAGATTCTGTTTTTATCCTGTTTGTATCGATGTAGAAGTGCACTAAACTGCAAATAACAGAAAACTCATAAGCAATAGCTCAAACAAGTAAGGGGGCTCATTCATTCCTTCATTTCTAATAGGATCCAGGATTGGTACAGCTGCCTCAGGCTATCATCAAAGCACCAGGCTTCTCTGTTCCTGCTTCCTCATCCTCATGGTCACAAAATGGCTGCTGTACCTCTGGGAAGTCTGCCTTTCAGACAGGGAGAAGGAAGAAGGGTAAAGGGAACAAAGTTTCCCTTTTTCAAGATTTTGCCTTCTTGTTCAGGAAAGACTTTTGGCCAGAGCTCTGACATCCAGGCATCCCTATCTGCCAGGATGGCTAGAAATGAAAGTGTTTTGATTTGGGGCCCCTTGAAGAGAGGTAGGAAAGGGAGACGTGTATTAGAGAAGGTGTTGAGTGAGCCCTTCTCCAGTGTCTGCGACACCATTCTACTGCCAAGAAGACTGAGCTACCGCTTGCCTGCTCTGAGCGGGCTCACTGCCATGGTTGAACCTGACGGCCGCAGTAGGCAGGGCTATACTCATCCACTCTTGCCATCAAGGTACCAATCACAGCAGGGCCCTCTCTCCTCGAGCAGGCCAGGTTCCGTCCTGCCTCGGGATCTTCCCCCGCTGCTCCCTCTGCCCGCACATCCTCTTGCCTCTTCCCCTGTCTGGCCCCCAACACCGTCTTCAGTTAGGTGCACCACCAGCACTGCTCGCTCGTCTTCGTGTGTAGTTGCGTAGTTGTGTGGCTGTTGGTTGGCCTGTTTGTTGTCAGGTCTCCTCACTAGATCGTTCGTGGTCTAGAGCAGGGGATCCATAACTGTGTGTAACTTAGTGAATGCATGAACAAGGAGGGAGGAAGGAAGGAAATACGTGGCAGCCACACACACAGACACACACACACACGGCCACACGGCCACCCGAGCAGCAGGGTCATCTTCAGCCACTGAGATAGCCCTGGCTGGGGAAGACACAGACGTTCCTTCCATGGCCGGTGCTAGCCTGTGTTTTGTGCTCAGCCTCAGGTCCCTGTCACCTGTGTTCTGAAGCATCAGCTGTCCTGGGGGTTGACCCTACACCACTTGGTAGGGTCCCTGTCTGAGAGTCATGGGGCATGGGTCTTCCAGAGGTAGAATAAACCACACATCTGCTGGATTAGAAATGAGTGTTTCTCCCTGCTCAATTAGAAAAGAATTTTAAGACCATCTAGGCTGCTGGCTTTCAGTGTGTATCTCAGAGCAGTAAGGGCCCAGGGATGCCTCACGGAACACTGTGAGCAGGAGGGTAAACCTCGCTGGTGCGGCGGGGCGGGTGGGGGGGGTGTTCAGCTCCCTCTCCTGGCATGGTCTATATTTGGTTTCTGAAAAGGTGTTCACTAAGAGGAGCTGCACTGCTTAAAAATGCGTGATAATCACAGATATCACTTAGCCTGCTCCTTTTACAGGTGGGAAACCCGAGGCCTGGAGCAGTGGACAGGCTTAACTAGAGCACACAGCTGGCTGGTTGCAGAGGAGGGACAAGAAGCCCGCCTCCGGGCTCCTGGGGCAGCCTGTCCCTCCTCACCTCAGCTGGTTATGAGAAACATTGGCAGAAGTGCAATACTCTTTTCTATCCCCAAGGACACTTCTCAATAAATTACTTTTCCATTGTATTAAAGAGCAGAGTTCCTGCTATAAGGAGCTCATTATCAAACACATCCAATCCTGGACTATAATGGTTTGTACCTCTAATATCCCAGTTTCCTCAGTGATCAAAATAACATGATGCACCCACCCCCCAATAATAAAAGAATGTGGCAGTCTTGAGAAAGAAGAGGCAGATTTCATAAGAATGACATTTTCCTAGCGTATCTGTTTCTCCAGAGAGCAAAAATATTGATCCAATGTGGTGCCATTGCCAGACCCTAATCAGATAGGGAAGAGAACAGATAGTATCCCATTTCCCAGATGAGAATGACACCTCAGGCCCCTAATTGTTGCCCCTTTTGCTCAACGAATCAGGCGTGCAACCCAGAGACCAACTCCTACGTCACGCCCCTCAGTCCCGCACAGTAGCTGTCAGATTTCACAACCTGCATCTTTCAGAAAAGCAATCGTTATTCTAGTTTCAAGAAGGAATTCTTAAGGCAGCTTTGGATGAAAACTTACTCAGCAGTGATTGTTTTAAAAATGAGATTTGGAAGAAACAATTTCAGAACTATGGAGAGTCCTGTCCGAAGTACAGCAAATGTGGGCCATCATAAAAGACAGATTTCTCTGGGCCATGTGAGCAGAAGCAGTTCTCAGAGTTGAAATTCATAGCTGCTAACTACAGGCTAGATTGGCGTTGCTCAGCAGAAGGCATTTTCCTCCGAAACGAGTCTCCTCCAGGCTCCTCAGGGCAACTAATTGTAATTCAGCTAAGGGTTGAGACCTCGGGTAGGAGACAAAATTGGAGCAGATGAATGCTTGAAATAAGATCCCCAGCTTTGTGCAGGCAGCACTGGGGACTAGACTGGAGGCTGATGCTGACCCCAGAATAATCCTGGCCTTGCCTGCAAATAGAGCGCTGCAGAGTTTTCCAGGGGTGTCCAAAAGCTCTTCAAATGTGTGAGCTTTGCTTGAGGATTAGGAGGACATAGAGGTGTTTTTGCTCTAGTGGGAGAGAGAGATGAGGGTATAGGGGAGCAGACCTGCCTCCAGATTACACTGCCTGGATGGGAGATTGTTTATTAGAAGAAACAAGAGAGGCCTTTGTTCATTTGGTTTTTTTCTATTCCTTTTCTCCTTCTCCTCCCCACTTTCAAATAGTGTTGGTGTTGCAGAAAAACAGGATATGTAGTAATGGAAAGGGTTATTGTCCTTAGCTGAACGATGATGGGCTCCCTGGACTGATGAGGTAGGAAGGGCTATGATATAATCTCATTGACAGTACTCTCCGCAGCTCAACTCCCCATCAGGGAACAAACAGACACATGCACAGGGAATGGTTCCCTAGGAGGAAATCTAAAGCAAGTGTTTCAAGTGTTTGCAGAGCTATTGATGGATCGTTGGCAGTGATTGGTGCTGGGAGGATTATGGACGTTGCTGGACCCACTGGCTCACACAGGAGAGGCCCTCACCAGTGAAGCCGGAGTCAGGTCCTCTTTCCATGATGGGCTTATTAATTCTGACCTGCACTCTCATACCATGCCAGTCGTGGGGACCCATTAAGGACATGCATTTTGCCCTGTCCTGATCTGCATTTCAACATACCACTCTTGACACTGCCCCTGAGCATATGGGTCTGTTCCTCTCTCGGCCTCTGTCTGCTTCCAGGACCCCCACAACTATTGGGGTGCCCATTCCCCACTTGCACTGTACTGTTTCAGTTCTTTAACCCTGAGATTTGTACTGCGTATTTTGTTTTTCTCTACACTTGTTCTGATTTAATTCATATTCGTATATTCAACAAATTGCATGAATTGATTGTACTGCCTGCTGTACTAGGCGCTGGGAATGCAACAGGACTAAGACTTCCCCCCAACCACTCACATCTAGAAGGGCAGACAGACGGGGTAAGAGACAATTGTAAGACCATGGAATGTGTGCCCGTTGGTGGAGATCCAGGCTCTGAGGAGCACAGACAAGGTCAGGGAAGACATCCCAGAGAAAATGCCAGCTAAACTCAATCCTAAGGGATAAGTAGATACTACTCCCCAGGACATGGGAGGGAAAGAGTGTTGGAGGCCGAGAGAACGGCATGAGCCCAGGCTAGGAGGGAAGGAGAAAACGTTGAAGGTGCAAAAAGAGCTGTTGATAACCTTATCATCTGCAGGCAATTACTATTAGCATTTAGGCTTTTTCCCCCCTCAGGGTTTTTTGTTTTTTTTTTAATAGACTTTATTTTGTAGATCAATTTTAGGTTCGCTGCAAAGTTAAGGGGAAAGTGCAGACAGTTCCCATACAGCCCCTCCACCCTCACTCCACACGTAGCTAGCCCCAGGCCCTGTCAGTGCTCTGCACCTGCATCAGAGTGCTCCATTGGTAACAACTGGTGGACCTATGTTGACACATCATTATCACTCCAAATATATAGTTTTATATTGGGGTTCACTCTTGGTGTTGTGTATTCGGTGGGTTTGGACAAATGTATGGGGACATATACCCACCGTTATGGGATCATACTGAATCGTTTCACTGCCTTAAAACTCTCCTGTGCTCTGCCTGCCCATCCTTCCCTCCCCCTAGCCCCTGGCAGCCACTGACCTGCTTGCTGGCTCCATAGTTTTGCCTTTTCCAGAATGTCTAATATAACTGGAATCATTCTCTACGTAGCCTTTTCAGATTGGCTTCTTTCACTTAGTAATACGCATTTAGGTTTCTCCTTGTCTTTTTATGGCTTGTAGCTCATTTCCTTTTGGTGCAGACTAATACGCCATTATCTGGACGTATCACAGTTTATTTATCTATTCTTCCGCTGAAGGACATCTTGGTTCCTTCCAAGTGTGGGCAGTTATGAATAAACCGATTATAAACATCCATGCACAGGTTTTTGTGTGGACATGTTTTCAGCTAACGTAGGTAAATACCAAGGAGCACAATTGCTGGATTACATAGTCAGAATATGTTTAGTTGTGTAAGAGACTGCCAGACCCTTCTTACAAAGTGTCTGTAGCATTCTGCATTCCCGGCTATGAATGAGAGTTGCTGTTGATCCACACCCTAGTCAGCATTTGGACTTGTCGGTGTTCTGGATTTTTGCCCTTCTAATAGGTGTGTAGGAGTATCTCGTTGTTCTAATTTGCATTTCCCTATGACCTTTGCT